CTTATATTATGGGATTTCTTGATATAATTACTTCATGTTTTAATTACATATCCAACCAAGCGAGCATTAAAGAATTATTTCCCATGTAGATTTCAGATTGTCATATTAAAACAGTGGAATGTATTTCTCTCAAAGCCTGAGTATCGAACCATGCTAAGCACCATGTAAGATGTCACGTAGGATGACTACCGCAGTGAGCGACTATAAATAACATTACTCCTGAAAAATTGAATATTCCATTTTTCATCGTTAATTCCTTTTTGATTAAAATTAATTGTAATTATAGATTTATCATTTTAATTTTAGTCTATTTTAAACAGGTTGACATGCTATAAAACTTTATAACGTAATGTGAAATTTTATTTTATTCCAACGTAAAAATAGTGCAATATGAACCAATTGAGAATATGAGAATATGAGGTACAAGAGGTCGGAAAAGAGTATGAAAAACGTGGGACCGAAAAATGACGAAAATAAATGAGTATTTAGAGAGAAAAACTGATTTTCAAAAAAAGATAACTAAAAAAAGAGATTAAAATTAGAAAGAAAGAGTTTGATGGGCCTCTCATTCAAATGTAGTGATGATGGCTAAAAATTCCGCCCTGAATGGGTTGGCAGGGCGAGGCGGGGTGGGGTGCCCCATCCCGTGAAGGGAAAAAAAAAAAAAGTTGAAAACTTGTTAACAGAGTACTACCCACTAAACACACTACTTATAGAAAAGAAATAGTAAATTGCCAATTTCGTTCCTTCTAGCTACGACTCAAATTAAGTAGTGTTTTTAGGGTTCTTGCTTGAAGATTGTGAACTACGTTTAATCAATACTTGATAATATTAAGAAAGACAAAGAAGTTAGAGTGTTTTTCATTATTTCATATGTTAATATCCACTTCATAAATACAAAATATAGTATTGAAATATATTTGGAATGTAGTAACAATGAACTCTACAATAGACAAAAATATCTCTTCTTGCTGTTCATAGTCTTAGTTGTTTTTATTTATTGTAGGATACTAAGGTCTTGTTTGGTTCCCATTTCTTAAAACTCGTTTTTTCCAAAATTCATTTTAAACAAATATTTAATGGGATCCACAATTTTTATTAAATACACATTTCATCAACTTTTATTGAAATGTGTTAAAACTCTAAGTTTTATTAAAACCAAACAGGGACTAAACATCTTGCTCCAAGATGCATATTTTAGCAGATATTGATGTTTTTCACTCATTCGCTCACTCTCTCTCTCTCTCTCTCTCTCTCTCTCTCAGTTTACAGGGAGAAAATGGAGGAAAAGGAACTGGAAATAGGGTTTCCAACAGATGTGAAGCATGTAAGCCATATAGGATTGGATGGATCAACTACAATCAATCCAATTCCCGAATGGAAAAATCGAAAAGCTCCTGAAATACTTTCACTTCCATCAATTTCTTTAAAACAATTTGAACTTGCGATGACTGCCCAATCTCATGGCCCTTTAAGTGCTACCACTACTTCCAGATTTACCCCCAGTAACCATATGAACTTTCAATGCTAGACATTTCTAGTGTTTAGTGAATTTCCAATGAACGAGAGTAATTGCCATTAATTTCATTGCTTGATATATTTGTTTTTAGGATGCGAAAAAAAAAATTTAATTTGTTACGAAAATAGAATTTGTGATGAGTTATTATTGCAAAGATTAATAGCCGAAGAAATAATGATTTGCTTTTGTAATTCTTTTTCTTTTTTTATGGGTTGTCTTTGTATATATTCTGCAATTCTATTTTTTATTATATCTTTTATTCCTTTCTTATTTTACGCACTAAAAGAAGTTGGATAACTGAATTTTCTCTTTTGTGACTTATTGCTTGCTTGTTTATGCAATAAAAGACGTCGGATATTCGAGTCCGAGTTTAGGTCCTATTTGAAATGTTGAAAATTATATTGGTGGAATGATATCGGGTTTTCTCATATCGATTTATAATATTAGTTAATTACACAATAAATTAAATTATGATAAACCACAATATATTAATTTAATTTAGAACTAAATTATATTAAGTTATGTAAAACACGTTAATTTAATAAATCTAAATGGAAAAGTTGAAAATTAACAGAAATTTTAGAGAACAAAAAAAATAAAAATAAAATAAAATTAACGACATGCGTATAATTTCGTATAAACTGTTAACCCAAGGCATGTGTAAACATAGTGTCCTTAAAACAGATTCGTCTTCTCACCGTACGTGCTTGAGTTTTAATCCGAGCGTTTGTTTCCTAGGATACAACGGTATATAGTAGAATCTGAGCACCGTAGTTACTACTCTGACGAACTGATCTAGTATCCGAACAATATCATCACAAGAACAAGACCTTACTGGACAAGGAATGCAGAAAAGAAGAAACTGTGTGTGCAGGAATATAGGTGAGATTTTCGAGTGTATTAGATTGCTGGAGAATGAGCTTTTTTATAGGCATACTGCCCATTAACATTGCGACCATTGGGAGTCCATTGGAATTACTACCCATTAACACTGTGACCATTGGGAGTTCATTGGAGTTTTTGCAGTTTCAGAAACTCAAAAGTCATTGGAGAAATTTGGATTTTCGAAGGGACGAAATCGCGCCCCCACCCAAGTTCAAGGTCAGAAGGCTATTTTGGTCCGAGATTTGCACCCCTTTGCGCGCGCACATGGAGAGAACCTCTATGCTACACATGATTACACCATTCCAAAGTGTAGGCATATATAAATTGGTTCATGCTTTCTTCATTTTCCTATGTGGGACAAATGTCACTTTTTCCACATAAACCATCTTCCAATGGCCAACTTTCAGCCCCAATTTCTCATTCATCCGTTAATCAAGTCTGACAAGTAAATATATGGTTTCGATACTCTCACGGAGGAGAACACAGATCAACTTTGATCTTCCAAATCGGACCAATGGGTTCCACTCAAACTTATGCCAAAAGTGACCCATTTACTCATTTTTCCAACAATCCCCCACATGAATGAAAATTGGGAGAGACACGAAAACGTGACACGAGAGAATTGGTGATAAAGTTCAACGATTGAAACCTGCATATGATAGGTAGGTATTACCCTTTGAACATTCCCTTGTGAAAGTATTTTTACTTTACTAGCCGACCATTAGACGCGTTGTCCTTGAACTGTTCTGCCGTTTGTGTAAACGATGATATACTCCACAGAGGATTTTTTCTAACACAATTTAGTTCTCATTATTATGTTCGTTTTGATCATGAATATACGCCTGGTTCTGTGAGAGTTTCTAAGAATTGAGCCCCACACAATTCTCTTAGAAGCGGCCACACTTCTTTCTCACATAGGTGATTTCTTATTACAAGTAACCTGCATTACTTGACTCGATTTACGATGCATAAGAATCATTAAAAGCCTACTGCTTATCCTTCATCCTTACGGGCATCACTGTTACATCATAGGAATGGACATGAGGTAACATCCTCCACAGTGATTCAATCAAGTTTTTATAATTAGGTTGTCCCTTTTATTTTACTCTTTCACTACAATATTATGCCCCTATTTGGTATTTATTTTAATTTAAATCAAAGTCAAACAATCAATATTAACCACACTTTTCATTGTCCCATAACTTTCAACCACATTTCAAATTTTTTATCAAAATCTACTAAAAATCTAATTTTAATTCTTACTAAACAAGCTTTATTTATTATATGTGAAAAATACCGAAGACAAATGTAAAGGCATCCATTCCACATTCTTCCATCGTTATTTCTCCTTGCTTTCCGTCTCTCTCTCTCTCTCTCACATTGTTGGGTTCGTGACCCAAATTCAATTTTTTTTTTGGAAAAAATAATGTTTCCATTATTCAACGCTCTTTCATTGAAAAA